AAAAATTTTTCGGCCGAATTAAACGCGATTTTGTTTTTCAGGCAAAAATCAACTTTTCGAATTGACAGTGAGAATGTTTTTTTTAAAGTGCCCATAACTTTCTCAAAATTTAATAGATTCCAACAATGTTCTTACTCAAATGTCAGTAATTCTTGTCACTTCAAGATAGAATGATATAATTATTGATTATCATTATTTAAAATTTTTTATTTAACAATAAACCAACAAACAATGTATTTGAGTTTGGTCGAAATTAAAAATCATGCTCGTACCTGACCGGTTGTCTGCAAATGGAAAGCATCTCAAAAACAAAATTTTTCCAAGCACTCAAGCAGTATTGCCCATTGTGCTTAAGGCCAAGAGACAGGATTTAGAGGAAACGGATATGTAGGTGGGGTGGGAATTCATTGCTCCTCTGCAAACTTACCAGGCTCCTTTATGCATTTTAGCAGTTTGTTGAGGGAAAGAGAATGTACCTCGTCCATTCTCAGTAATCCGACCCAAAAAGGTACCGTCGGAGTTTGGCGTAGGCCAGACAGCGGCAAAGAAAATGTTCTGTACTATCCTTGTCCTCCGAACACGATGTACACAGTGGATCGTCGATGATGCATATGTTGACCATATGTCGGGCCCCATGGATTGTGCCCCGTGGTCAGTCCTATCAGGGCTCGTAGATCACTCATGTTTTGTCTGAGAAGTAATTTTGCTACCACCTTGTCAGGCCTTTTCAAGAAACACTGGGTTATATTGCAGGTGTCAATAGTGCACCCGATCGTTCCCGCCATGCTTGGCCCTAAAATTGGCTCTGGTCAAATTGGGCGTTCCAGGGAAACGCAGTTCGCCAATTCATCAGCCAGCTCATTACAAGTTCAAGCTCATTCCATCTTGTAACGGATTTTAGCCCCAACTTACATTCCCGGACTAACTCTGAAGAGGCGCGAGCGGTTTTCAGGGCCCTTAGAGCAGCTTGGCTGTCACTGCAGATCGTGATTTTATGTTCGCGCCACCTTTCGCCAATTATTCAGTCCGCCACTTTCAGTGTTGCAAAGACTTCCGATTGAAATACCGTTGCCATTGTACCCAAAGTGGTAAAGCATCTAAAGTTACCGTCCAGAAGCCATCCAGCTCCAGTGCCGTTTTCAGTCTTTGAGCCGTCGGTATAGAAAGTTTTCACCGAGCTTCCCAAAAGAGTGTCTGGATCTCTCCATTGTTCCCTTGTAGGAAATCTTACAAAGGAGACTCCACGTTTCAATTTGTCATTTGGTGCCAAAAGCAAAGGATATTGCTCCGACAACCTTCTGAACAAATCTCTAGGTGTGTATAGAGGCATTTCATATCACCGCGGCCATCTCTGTGCGCGACCTCTCAGGATTGGGATGAAAGTTGAAAAGATTGAAGGTCTAGGTGACATGATATGACGTAGGGTTGCCTATTTACACGGGACTTAAAATTTAAGAAAACGTCATACATACCTATCTTTAAAGTGTTATATCTTGGAAACCTTATAACGAAACTTAATGATAAAAAATGTATTTCTTCCGTCTTATTATGGGCTTAATTGTACATTTTTTACATTAATATGCGACGTATAAAAAACAAAAAAAATTAAGTAAACATTTTTCTTTTTGATTACAGCATTTTTAAAAATTTTTATTTTTACATAAAAACATTGTCTATAATGTCAACTTCAAGTAATACATATGTCTATTTATCATATTGCTCGAGCGTTAGACGTTCTAGAGAAATGCCTCTATAGCACTAATGGGCACTGCCTTGCCCGCGAGCAAAGCTCTTGTAAGCTTACCATATATTTTGTATAGGCGCGAGCAGAGTAAAACCTCTCTCTGGCCAACGCTGTTCTATAGTAACTTTTCCAATAAAGAATCGCAGCGAGAGCGTAAAATCAAAATAGAGCGTAAAATTGAGAAGAGAAAACTAACAGAAAAAGTTATTGAACACAAAACTAGCAAAAACTTGCAAGTGAACAGTTGTTGCACTGTTTTGGCACATTTTTGCAATTTATAAATCAGTTTTAAACTCTTTCCTTTACACACAAGCACTTACACTGCCCAGTACATCATTCATATTTTGATTTCCACTCATTTTACTGTTATTTACGCTTAACCAATTCAAAAAATGGCGGCTTTTGACATTTTTTCTCGTTCTTCTTCTGCTAGGTAATTTCTGCTAGTAAAAATTTCACTAGCAATAATTTGCAGTTCTCCCGTGTTATTATGCTCTCGATTAAGTGCCCTCTTGCAAATTTTGTGTTATTATACACTTCGAGTATAATTTAGTACCGAGTACAATTTAGTACTGACTATACTTACTATACACAACTTCTGTGCCCGGAACTCCGATCGTCGTGCTACAGACCAAAAGAGTGCAGTCGGCACATCGTTTTCATTGCCTCCTCTTGGATCGCTAAATCCAGAGGCGGAAAATTCAACAGGGCATTAAGAGCCGGTAACGACGTTGAACTCATGGTGCCCGTATTGCCTATACACACGCTCCTTTGTAGCCTGTTTAACACAGATACCGTAGTTTTAACCGTGGTTCTGCGCCACCATACTGCAGAAGAGTACGTGACGATTTTCCTGACTAGAGATATGTACATTAGACTGCATCACCAAAAAAAGTTGCGGCTTTTCCGCCAGGATGACTAAATTTATTATATTTTAAGACGTCCACCAAAATATTTCGTAAAAATATTAAGATCTAAGTGAGCTGGCCCGATTTGAAAATACCTCCAAAAATGAAGTTTTTTATGAATAAAAATAGTTTCTTAAAGAACATTTTTTAAAAAGTTCCCTCAGAAGACAAATTGGAATAAGCTTAAAAAATCTGCATAAAAATATTTAAAAATCTTTTCAATGGAATCGTAAGAATGAGATTTTTGATGCTGTTTTTTTACTTTTTTCAAAGATTGATTTACGAAAAACTTGAATAACTGGACCAAAAATTTTCTGATTTAGACTTATGGGATCTCAGTAGAAAGGTATTTTCACACCGTTTTTATTTCTGGCCAAAAACAGCGTCATTCGTGTCCCATCTTTTTTTTCGAATACCAAAGATCTTAATTCAACTTTGAATGAGGTTCGTTTCTCCTACCTTTCTCTTCCATCCTTTGAGTAAGTTTATTAGCAAATAAATGAAAAGGGTGAGAAAGTACCTTTCCAATGACACCTCTTAAGTCTAAATCGGAAGAGTTTAGGTTCAGTTATTCAAGTTTTTCTTATACCAATCTTTGAAAAATGCTAAAAACAGCATCATTACGATTCCGTTAAAATTTTTTTTAATTTTTTTTTTAATATTTTTATGCAAATATTTTAAGCTTAAGCCGTTTTGTCATTTGAGGGGATTTTTTCAAAGGAAATCTTTAAGAAACTATTTTTATTCATAAAAAAAAACATTTTTGGAGGTATTTTCAAATCGGTCTAGCTCACTTAAGTCTTAATATTTTTCCGAAATATTTTGGTGGACGTCTTAAAACATAGTAGATTTTATAATTCCAATGGAAAAATAGTACCGATTTTTTTTTGTATGGGGAGTGATGCAGTCTAATGTACATAAATACAAAATACCATAGCCGGTCTGAGACCCCACTGTCCGAAAACCTACAGCGTTCGATTTACTTTCAGCTCGACGTGAATTCTCCATGTCAGCTTCGTATCTAGAGTTAGTTCACATCCACGAAAGGACTTAGGTTTACACCTCTAAGCACTGGAAGGTTGAGACCTTCCAATTTTCTTTTCCGCGTAAACAAGACTAGGGTTGTCTTGCTGGAATTGACAGCAAGACCCCTGAAAGTGCACCATTCATCAATATTAATCAGGATTCTCTGTGTCTTAATACAAACTTCCTTGAGAGATTTACCTGATGGCAGTTCAAAAACATCATCCGCGTAAGCTTGGTTGTGAACGAAATCTGGCATTTCCGTTGGTAGGGAGTCCACTACCAAACACCAAAAGAGAGGTGAGAGCACTACACCCTGAGGGCATCCTCTCCCAACCTCTGCCATGGTCCAAAAACCAACTGGTTGGCAACGGAAAAGAGTTCCAGAATAGATGAATCATCGCCTATCCTGTCCCGCTTCCCCGTTGTCGTTTCGGGTGCAGAGTCAGAGACCGATGGATTTTGAGTACTCACCTTGGATATAGCCGCATATTTCTTCTCATTTGGCCTCCTCCTCTTCAACTGCCTTGCGGTCAGCTTTTCACTCGTTTGAGGATCACCAGTACAGGATTTCTCCGTACCGGTACTCTCCTGCTTTGGACCAGGTTTAACTGTTGTTGCTTCCATCTCTGATACCAGTGTCCGTCTTGAAGAAGGAGAAGGACCATCTAGCATCTCCACATCTGTCACAACCTTGGTTGCTTCAGAAAGTATCGATGGTAGTTCGCCCTCCACCTCATTCAGAAGTAGGCTCTGCATTGACAGTGTCAATGTGCCGTCTTCCACCAGTAGCTTGGTTCCACCGATACCCTTGCTGCCAGTCTCGGTCATAGCGCGGTGAGCTTTGAGCCTGCACATCCGATGCCCATGCTTGCTGGTTTGAAACTTTCAAATATGTGGCAACCTCCACAAAAATATTTTCGGCTACAAGCCTTTTAAACCTCTTTCTTTTGACAACCGTATTGCAATATTTCCTTTATCCTATCAATTTACTGGAATTTTAAAACAGGTGACAACTCTCTATGTTTTTTCTTTCTAGATTTTAGATAGACCTCAAGCAATACATCGGTGAAATCGGTGCATTCAATTTCATGCATTAGTTTTCGAGTGATGCGCGTACAAACATACAGACAGACAGACAAAAATTCTTAAGATTGTTGATTTGGCTTCTATTTCTCTATTAAAGTCCCCCCGTTTTAATTTTCCTTTAGTATATTTTATGTAGAGACATCGGCCTGTTACAATTTTATTGTATGTATGTATAGATGGTTTCCACAAAGTTTAATGTACTAATTTATTTTTTTTGATATTTTTATTACACGCAGGCATCCACTCCCAGTGAACTTATCCATTCGTCCTATACATATCGAACAAAACCCCGAATCGGACAGCATGTAAGCCACATATCTTCAAAAGTGACTAATTTCTATAATCTTAAGAATCATCTCTCGAATTTTATGAATAGAAAACCTTCGACACCGTCAGCACCAGCGACGACAAAGAAACCGCGAAAGCCGAACGTTTTCATTGATGACGAGAAGTACGCGATGGCCAAAACACTTGTCGCTCAGAATGCATCGACAATGGAAATTGCGCGTTCTCTTAATGTTTCACAGATGACAGCTTGGAAGGTGCGGGATGCCATTGTAAAAGGCTTGCCCTTGTCGTATCGCAACAAAAGAGATGGGCGCAGTGCCTCAAATGGCTCGAGTATAAGTGGTGAAACGCCCACGAGCGCTGTACCGGAAAGTGTAGAGTCACAGATGGCTCATCAGCTTCTATTGCAACAGCAGTTACAACAAGAGCAGTACCGGCAGGAACAATTACAACTGCAGAAACTGCAGCAACAACAAACACAGCAAAAACGATTGCAACAACAGCAACAGCTGCAACAACAACAACAGCAAGAGCGCATGCGTCTACTACAAAGACAACAACAATTAAAAGCACAACAAAATATTCAAAAGCAGCATCAGTTACACGATCAGTTGCAGCGTCCGCAACAACAGCCAGAAAAGGCTCGCAACGGACAGCACTACGCAGCGTCACAATCATCTTCGCCGCCAAGGTACGAACAGTCTGCTACCAGCGCCATCGCTGCAGCACCGGTAAAATTTATACATCCACGCCGTCGTTTGAAAGCGGCCGAACGGGAACAGCGAGACAAGGAAATCACTCGAGAGATACTCGAACTCATACGTGAAGATAGTAACATTCAGTATTGGAAGGTATCTGCGCGACTAGCCGAAAAAGGCTTTCCCATTTCGCCCTCTTCGGTGTGTCAAAAACTCAAATCTATGGGCATACATCGACGATGGAAGCCCGGCGATAAACCACCAATGATGGTAGACATCGAGCAGTTGAAAGCGGTTAATGCTATAGTCGGCAATCTGGTCAACGCGCCAAACTCTGCCGAAGAAGGCTATGATCATCAATTCGAAATGGGGGGCGCACATTTTCTTAGTGCCTTTACTCGATAAATCATAAGCAAAGGGGTAGACAAGACGAAGAGCATACATCTATACATACATATGTATACATTGTCGAAAATAATGATTTCATAAAAATGTGTATTGACTAAACAAAGATTGCATACATACATATGTATGTATGTACATACTGTGTACATGTACATAAGAGTATAAATGCATGTATGCGCAAACAAAATGAACAGTATATTTGGGAGGCAACATGCAGTATACGAATGTTTAAAATATACATAACGTGAGATATAAGAGTTATTCAAGTAACTATCAAGTATTCCCTTTTTAATTGGTGTCTTATAAAATGGCACAAGTATATGTAGTATGGTTTATATTACAGGTATTTATAATATAAAATTTTAAGTTCATATATTCAGTATTTGCAGGAATTATACAAATTTTAAGTTATTAGTATTATGTGAGTCAATAAAAAGCTACATACATATATTATCAAAAGCAAAACTCCTAATGGATAAAACATTCCAAATTTTTACCCATACGAAAAAAAGAAAAAGCCATTAAATGGTAGACAGCTTCCATTTCAGATATACAGCTATTCGCATACGTAAATATTATTCCACATAAAACTCTGTTTTTGCACACGTGCAGCGAATTATACACATACACCTGCGTTCAACTAATTAGCACCGAAATTCAAAATAATATTGTTTGCAACTTATGTTTATTTATTTATTTTTAATAACGCAGGTGTATATACATACTATGTATTTATTTTATTCTTGTAAGCCAGAAAACAATGTCCATCGAAGTATTGAAGCTTAAAGTAAGTAATTAGAGTTCTATCTATATACTAAGAATGCACATGAAAGACTAGCTTGATCAAAACGTAAAGACATTAGAAGACCCCAATAGCTAATACTTTTTCCAGATATTAATTGTATTAGTTTTATTATAAATATTTAAAATGCTTTATTTGTAGGGCCTATTTCAACTTCATATTTCTAGATATATATTTACATATATAATAATGGCTTAATATATGTAATTGTTAAAATTCTTACAGCAGCTTACTTTACAAATGGTACGGGTTTAAGAAAAAACTAAATTTTTACTTTTTTAAAATACACCATAATTTTTTTTTCACTTCCTCGGAAATTTAGTCTACACCTACACATCTCAAACATTTTCTGAATATATGAAGGATTTGTGTTCCAAAATTTTACCGAACTTTGCCAAATTCAAAATTCATTGTCTTCCACTAAACGTATCATTGTAATTTTTTAAGGCTGAGATATTTACTAGAAACCTGCGTACCCTTGGTATTTTAATTTACAAATGTAAAAATAATATATAATTTCCACTACACTTTTATCTGAAACACCTGTTTTTAACCGACTTCAAAAAAGGCATAAGGTTATCAATTCATCAGAATGTTTTTAACTTTTCTTTATCAGAAATGTGGTACCACAAGGGTGGTCCCATACTAATTAGGTTTAGTTCCGTTCATTGCGTCATGAAGAAAAAACTGTACTCCTAAATTTTTATATGAGCATGCTTAGCAGTGTTTTAAATAATTAATATAACAAACATTCATATCTATAAAGTATAGAAAAGGAAAGTAATAGTAAGTGCGTAATTGTTTAAGATAACCATTTTTTGAAGATTTTTTTTTATAAAAATAATTATGTATGTACTAGGCCTTTATTAGGTCTCGAATATTCTTGGCAAATAATCTCGGAATTTTCGGGATTTGTAATTTGCACTGATGGCAATAATAGAAACTCTTTTTTCTTGACCAGTAATGGCTATATTTCTTTTTTTACTTAATAATTAATATTTTTTTTTTAAATATCTAGCTCGTTATACATACATACATACCAGGGATGTTGCGAATGTTTGCATTCGCATTCGTTATGCAAATGCGAATGTGTACATGGGCAGAGAATCCACTCTAATATTGTTGAAATGGCTCTAAGTCTGTCTTACCAGGGTGCGGACAATAACCGGTTTTTAGCTTAAGGCGCTACACGGTTAGGTAGTATATCAAGCAAATTGATGGACCTTCAACAAGTACTGCTAAAAGTCTTATAAGCAACCTAGAAATAATTTTAGATTCCTCCAGTGAAAGCGAAGGCTCGGATGTAGAATCTAGAGACATTAGAAAATGTGAAATTAAAGCTCAATTGAACTCCTATCTTAAAGAAAAACGAGCTTATCTTGGTGAAAATCATCTCGATTGGTGGAAAACTTAACTAAAATTACCTTTTTTGAAATATAATATGCTTCTTTTGAACTTTGACTACTAGATTGAAATACTGCACTATGGTCTGGCAGTTACTATTTCATGGCCAAAAGTAATTTTTTAGAGTATCGATAAATCGTTTTTTTTGTTGTCCCATCCCTAAACTAATTCTCCAGAATAAAAAAGTACATACTCATTATTTTGTTAAAAAGTTTTCCCATTGAGGTATCAGCTGTTAAAGTTGACATTTCTACTAAAAGTTTAAAAATTTATTTCTTTCGTAGGTAGTATTATTGTAGTTCGATATAGTATGAGTCTTCGAGTGAGAAAGATACTTCAAAAAAGAGAAGGGAAATTAATATTTGTAAGATTAACAAAAAAGAAAATTAACATATGAAGTAGAGCTATAAAAAATTGGATTCATTTGGCGGTCTTCAAGCTTTGTGGGCAATAAAAATGTTCAATTTAGAGTTCGTGGGCTGGGAATCATGTTGCACTTTTTTGCATTTTTTGAATAATGGGCTCTTTTATTAGAAAATGTGTGTTTTGCCGTGCTTTCCGATGTTTGAAAAGCAGCAGTCAACAAAGATGCAAAACACTGCTTTTTTAAACGTTTTACTGCAAAATATTATTAGACGGAGCACATCCGATGAATATAACAACTACATAAAGAAAATAGCAAGAATGATATGCAAGTAAGTAGGTGAAAAATGCATTCTTGCACTCTTTTGTTTAAACTTGTACGTTACGTTATTTTTTAAACTTTTATCTAGCCTAATATTAGTAATATACTTGTTGTACTAGTGTATTTTCAAATAAATACAAATATGAGGAAGAAAAAGTTTTTCTTTGAAGCAGCGTTGATTAGAAAAAAAGCAAAACCTAAACAATTTTTTTAAACTAAAATTTTTTTCCGATAACGCCATATTGGATCCAAACCCCCCATATATATAAGTCTTTGGTGAAAAAGAATAAAATATAAAATTTGGTAGCCATATTGGATCTGCCATTTTGAATTTGAAAAATCTGCTATCAGATTCGAAATCAGCGCCCTCGAAAACTCCCCATTTATATGAGTTTATGCTGAAAAGGAAAAAGTTATAAAATTTGGTCGCCATATTGGACTAGCCATTTAAAATTCCAAAAACCTTACATCAGATTCGAAATCAGCGATCTAGAAAACCCCGCTTATATATAAGTTTTTGGTGAAAGGGAAAGAAGTGTAAGATTTGGTCGCCATATTGGATCCGCCATTTTGAATTTCGAAAGTTGGAAATCAGCGACCTCAAAAACCCCAGCAAATGACAGTCGCCAGACCATACTGCACTGTATAGGTTACGCACTCGTTCAATGTTCTAATAATATACAAAATTTTTAATTAACAAAAACGATGACTTAAGTCGATTATAGCTTTTTTTTAATGTTATTCCTAACATTCGCATTCGCACATTCGCATTCCGAAAGTTCGCATTCGCGTATGTGAAAAATATGACATTCGAAACATCCCTAATACATACCATGGGCCAAATATAGTAAAATTGCGTTTTTAGTTTTCACTCTGACGTCAGTAATTCAAAAATGATTTTAAAAATTCAGTGAAATGTGCCTAGAGAAGAAGTACGGGAATCAAATTATAGAGGAAATTCTGTACAATTTAATAAGATTCAGTTCTTTGTTGCATAAGGACTGCGAATCCAAAATATTTTAATTTTTTTTTAATTCTAAAGAAATTTCCTCTTTTATTTAGTACCAATATTTTTATTCTACATTGCATTGAATTTTTAAAATAATTTTTGGAATTAATCAGATCTTAGAAATTACAAAGTTCTTTAAAATGAATCCTGACGTCAAAGAGAAAAATAAAAATGCCACTTTAAATAAAAAAGTAGGTTTCAAACCCATTTATTTATTGTTTATTTTATGGTAGGAGAGATAGAAGCAATTTTTTCGATTTAAGTTGTTGAAATGTAATGAATATTTAAATCCCGGGATTGTGATAACGGCATCCCGAAAATCCCGGGATCGTAAAAAGCGAACAAATTAACATCCATAGTATGTACATTAGCGTGGGCCGAAAATCCGCTTTTTTAGAATTTTCATTGGGAATAGTAAAAGTCCATCAAAGTTCAATGTGCTCAAAACATAAAAATTAATACATACATTAATTAATACAGTTTTTTCGTATAAACATTTTATTAGTCCTTTTTTGTAGAGAATCGAAGTAATCTAAGAAGAATGAACCATATTTTTGCTATTACCAATTCTAAAAAAGCGGATTTTCGGCCCACGCTAATGTATATACTACGGCCATTACCTTTAAATAATTTGTTTTATTAAAAATTCAGTTTGAAAAGCTTTTGAAATGTTGGTCTTGTTCATACTATGTCATGTTGCTATTTTTTGCTATTTCTGAGAAAATGGCTTTTTTGTAGGTATTCTGATACTGTCAGTAGTGAATTATTGTCCATTTCGAGGAGAGAAATAAATTAGGAGAGGAAAGAAAAGACTTTTAACACATTTTATTACTGCAATGGCTGTTCCTTTTAACTTTTCATCAGACAAATTAGGAATTTCAGACCTTTCAGGTTTTCCTATAATTTGGCAACAGTTTTTAAAAAAAGAGTTTATAACAAAAGATTTCTTCTTTAATACAAGTATTAAAAAAACTGTAATCAAAATTTTTTAATAAAACCACAAATTAAAAAGTGACTCCTCGGTGGTTGGGGATTAAGTTTTTTTTTAATATGGGAAATCATCTGATGATAATTATATTAAAAAATCAATTGTTAAATATTTCAACCTTTAAAATAAACAAGTAATTTTTAAGCAAAAAACAAAACCGACTTCAATTCTCGTATAAACATTTGAGATTATCGTAAACTTCTTCATGATCCAATGATCGGATTTAAGCCAAATTAGTATGGGACCACCTGTGAGGTAACGCCTTTCCTTAAAAAAAAAAAAATTTTGAATGTGGCAAAGTCCGGTAAACCATCCAAACTAA